GACATTTTCTTTTTATTTATGTTTTTTTTAAAAAGGAAACAATATATCAGAATGATATTTCGCACCTGAAGGAAAAAAAGGTGATAATAAAGTAACAACGAAAAAAAGAATTATAACCAAATTATAAAAAACAAACAAACAATTGATTTCAAATGAACATGTTAAAAAACACGAGACTATCCTTTTTCCTGTTTTAATTTTTTTTCTATTTAAACACTCCTTATTCTTTTTATAATCCTTTCAAACTTTCCCTGATATATCTATATATTAATTATTATTATTACTTAAACAAAAATATATATATTTATTTTCAGACATTTTCTTTTTATTTATTTTTTTTTCTTTAAAATGGAAAAATATGTCAGAATGATATTTCACACCTGTTTCACATATTTTTTCGTACGATCTTACGATTTATATCAACGATCTAATGGGATGTTTTTTTTTTAAAAAAAATCTAACGCAAACGCACGTTCGGTTAAATTCGTTGTACGCGGTCCGGAGTTGAAGGCCCGACTGACGAAATTGTAGGTAGAAACTGTGGAAGAACAAGGGCGCAGGCGCTTCACCACTTCTCGTAGCAGCGATCTTCCTCTATCCCACCTCCCTACCCCTCTACCGGTCCGACCACTCTTTTCCTTATTTCCTCTTTCCCTCACCCTCATCTTGATCCTATTTCTATCTCTTTCTTTCTCTCTCTCTCGTTTGCTACATATCTGTTTGCTTTCATCTCTCTCTCTCTTCCTCCTTCTCCCACGCACACACACTCATATACACACATACTTTCATTCCTTCTCACTCTTTTTAACACACAGAATCCTTCTTCCTCTTCTTCTTATTCCTTGAACCTTTCTTTTTCGTTAGACACTCTTTCTATGTGTCCACAGGGCACCACGCTGGCCCTACGGCACGAAACCAAGCCGAAAAGTACGAGTACGTTTTTTAAAACTTCCATGACTACTCCTAAGCATAATTTAGGAAGACTGAGTAAAGTGACTACGAGCTTTTCTCTCAGTATCATGATAAAACGAAACAACGAGAACTTTGATTTGTTTGTTTTTTTACTGAGAAAAATGTTGGACGGATTTTTAGGTGATTTTTTTATTAACCATTTTGTATGAAATTTGAATCAAAATAATTCGACGTCAATCAGTTTACTGTTTATATCTCGATGATATTTTTCCATTATGATAGAGTCTTTAAATATCATCCGAAAAGATTCACCCAGTCGGATTTTTGGTTGAAGCTCTTCGACAGGGGATGGGGGGGTGGGGAGGCGTGAAAACTTTCCCGAAGGCGAGCACCAATCAGAAGTTTGGAATTACGTGGATGACAGATTGAAAATTCGTGAAACGAACCGAACCGAACTGAACTGAACTGAATTGAACAGAAGCAAACTGAACGAAGACGTTTACGTAGGACGAATCTAATTTACAGTGTAGCGGAACGATAAACCTAATGATCATCTTATCTTTTAAACTAAAAGTGTCAGATGTAGGATAGATAGGCTTAAGATTAATCTACATTGTTATTAAGTTATACCTCATTTTTCTTTTTCGTTCGTTTTATCTTAAATCCGTTAAATTTGTTCTAGTCTTTTATCCCATTTTTTTAAAATCTTATTTGAAAGAACAATCAACCGAGGAAAGGGGAACAAAAAAAGAAGTCGTGTCTACAAGTTTTGTTCCCTTTAAACGAGAATTTTCTATCCAATCTAATTGACGTTATTTCATTAAACGATTCTTCCTTTTTTTGCCCTTTTAAAATCCCGAACGTGGTTTCTCTTATAAAACGTTTTGATTAGTTTCGATCGACCAGTACCTATTTCCCTAGACGTACATATACCTAACACACACACACATATATATAGTAGATATACACGTCTAATGCAAATTTCGCGAAAGAGCCTTCTGCTCGAACTATACAAATCACGTTAGCAGCTTCAGCTTCAGCTTCAGCTTCCAAGCTTACCGTTATCGTTTAGAAACGTGCCTATTACATACTACGAGAGTTACCTTCCCCATTACACCTGACCGCTAGTGAGATTTCGACAAAACATTATTTTTGTTGATGATAAAGGTTCATAGGGAACTTGGACATGAAAAGAAGTAGAACTTAATTTAATTAAGTTGGACGTTTCGTACCTTTATTGGGACTTCTTCAGCAACTGGAAAATTTATTTTCTTATACATTTCTTATTACGATACATACGGTTTATACAATATAATTTTTTTTTACATATTACCTTAATCTTTAAAGCTCAGCGTCTTTTTTATATGTGATACATTTCGCTGATGTTTCTTTTGTACCAATTTTCTTTCAAATCTAGGATAGTTGCTGCGTCATATTTGAAAATATATCCTGTTGTGGAATGGTGTTCAGCTAACGCTGTGGTATTGGTTTTATTCACATTTACAGGTTTACAGTCATTTTTGTGTTGGTCTAATCTTTTTTTTAATTTCTGTTTCGTTTGACCAATATAGCTCTTATCACATTCACATGGTATTTTATACACTAAGTTCGACTGGTCAAATTTATCCACTTTATCTTTTAATTTAGTGTAAATAGAGTTTATTTTTGTTAGATTATAAAAAACCRGTTTAATATTAGTGTTTTTAAAACATTTATTTATTTTGCTTGCTAAAGGTTTAATATACGGGAACTTAATGTATTTTTTATCTTGCAGATTCGGTTTTTTTACACGATCTTTGTCAATTTTAAATTCATTAAATACCATGTTTATGAGACTCTTGGGATAGTTATTATTCTTTAAAAGGGTCTCTATTTTTTCTTATTTTCTATGTGAAACTTCTTACTGCTTAATGTTAATATATCTAGGCTAACAAACACTAGTCTAGGGTGAAACAGTTTTGTTGAGGTTTTTGAATAATAACGATCAAATTAACGAAGTTTAGATGTATTGTGTTTGGAATATTATAAAGAGAAATGTATGTCGAAATGAATAAAAAAGACGCTGAGCTTTAAAGATTAAGGTAATATGTAAAAACAATTATATTGTATAAACCGCATGTATCGTAATATGAAATTTATAAGAAAATAAAATTTCCAGTTGCTGAAGAAGTCCCAATAAAGGGACGAAACGTCCAACTTAATTAAATTAAGTTCTACTTCTTTTCATGTCCAAGTTCCCTATGAACCTTTATCATCAAAAATTATAATTTTGGACGAGAGAAAATACTGAATTATTTTTGTTCTTAATACGGAATYACAGGGAACTTGGACATAAAAATAACTAGAACTTAGTTTTGATCTAATTGGACGTTTCGTCCTTTTATTGGAACTTCTTCAGCAACTTAATTTTTACAGTTCAGCGTCTTTTTTTATTATGTAGACATACATTTTTATTTTTATTAATATTCCAAACACAAAACATCTAAACTTCGTTAAATATTCGATCGTTACGATTTGAAACTCTCAACAACAATATTTCATATTTCAAACAATAACATCGGTCAATTTTAGAACTGACACGAATAATTGAAATCACATCTATAACGGAATTTTTTAAATTTAACGATAATAAATAGAACACGACAATAGAGGGACACCTTACATTGAAGATATCTAGACTAATAAACACTAGTCTAGATTGAAACAATGTTGTTGAGAGTTTCAAATCGTAACGATCGAATATTTCACGAAGTTTAGATGTTTTGTGTTTGGAATATTAATAAAAAGGAAAATGTATGTCTACACAATTAAAAAAAGACGCTGAACTGTAAGATTAAGGTAACATGTTAAAAAATTATTGTACGAGCCTCATATATGTTATAATATAATAAAATAAAATTTCCAGTTGCTGAATAAGTCCCAATAAAGGGACGAAACGTCCAACTTAGTTAATTTAAGTTCTACTTCTTTTTATGTCCAAGTTCCCTGTGATTCCGTATTAAGAATTATAATTTTAGATGAGAGAAATAAGTAATTAAATTATTTATGTTTTCCTTCAATTCAAACAAAGCCCTTTTTTAATTCTCCTTCACCCTTTCCTCCACCTCATTCTTTTAGACAATTTTCAAATCAATTAATAAATCATTAATTTATTCGTACCTTCTTTTCATTAATTCTGCTTTCATTTCGAATTTCATACCTTTCGTGATTATTATATTAATGCAATTACCATAAGTGATTGTTTTCTTATTCAATTAGTTTCTATATAATTCATACCAAAGCCCTTTTTTATTCTCCTTCACCCTTTCAGACAGTTCTCAAAGCAGTTAATAAAGTATTGATATATTCGTACCTTCTTTTCTTTTATTCTACTTCCATTTCGAATTTTATATCTTTCCTGATTATTATAATAATAATGCAATAACCGAAAGTACGGTTGTACCAACACCATTGAGATTACTTCGTTATCTGTGCACTATTTTTTTCGCGTCAAGAAGAACCTGCACGGGGAAGAGCGTTATTACGAAAGCCCAGAGAAATATATAATGGATATACATTTTCATGTATAAGTGTGTGTGTGTGTGTATGTGTACATATGCGTGCATCGCAATGGACTCGTTTGCTTGCAATGTTCACGTTACTCTCTTTTAATGTACTTGATTTATTTCACTATTGTAATTTCTTAGTGTTAAAAGAAAA